ACCACCACATACCTACTTCGTCCGCCAAAGGGCAATGGACCCACAAGTGTGCATTGGATTCCCACCCCCAGTCACACCGGGAACAAGTGGTGACCACATCCATTCCCTTGGAGGACAACCAAATAGCCGTAGGAACGACCATCATGGCCTGCATCCACATCAAGCTAGCGTTTTTTTGTGAAGGAATCGATCTCAGAGTTTTCCACAGCGATTGCCAATCCGGCTGAGGCCCTTGTGGGTCTTTAAATTTGCTCAGTCTCATCGAAGCTACAGTCGTCGGTGTGCGAACTTTTTGGGTTTGAAGGTATTTCATCCCAATTTTTGGTTTGTATAAAACCAAAGGGACAACCTTTGAGGAGCCTGATGCCTTCTCCTGAAACTTCCATCCATACAGCAACGGCTCAACTTTGCATTGAACTATTTCTCAGTTCATGGAGTGCCTTCTCCCCTTTTCTATGTCAAATATATAATAGGGCACTGATTACGGGGACCTTGCCTCGCAATTTTGTCAAGGGGTTTATCGCCCTACTCTACAAAAAGGGGGATAAAAGGGAGGTGAGAAATTACCGCCCGATATCTGTCCTGAATGTAGTCTACAAAACCCTTGCCAAAACGTTGGCCATTCGACTCGCTGACGAACTCCCCCACTTGGTGGGGTGGGAACAAGGGGCCTTTGTCAAAGGCCGGTCCATTTTTGAAAACATACTGACCACGATCCAGGCCCTGGAAGTTATAGGAGCGGAGGAACGCAATGTAGCAATACTGCTCCTTGATATGGAAAAAGCATATGACAAGGTGGGCTGGGCTTTTGTCTCAACCACCTTGTCTAAAATGGGGTTTGGTAGTGGGTTTTTAAATTGGGTCCACGCGATGTATGCGGATGCGGTCTCAACGGTCATGGTTAATGGGCACTTGTCCGATGAGTTTGAACTAACCAGATCTTTGAGGCAAGGTTGCCTCCTTGCCCCTTTATTATTTGTCCTCCAGCTTGAAGTATTATTAAATAACATTCGATATAATGACGAAATAATAGGCCTAAAACTCAGCTCCTCTCTACATTGGAAGGGTGGCGCGCTTGCAGACGACCTCACAGTTGCATGTGTGAACTCCACCCCTTCCATGGAGGCCCTGAGAAAGGTCATAGACGAATACTGCATTCTTTCCGAAGCTTCCATAAACTGGTATAAGTATGTGTTCTTCTTGCCTCCAGCCTTTGATATGTGTGTGGACTGGGGGCTGAGACAAGTACCGACTGAGAACTCAGAGAGGTTCCTTGGGATTCAGGTGGCACTCGCCGACTGTTCAAAGACGCAAGATCAACTTTTGTCGGATCGAGTGTTAGCGAGAATCCATGGATGGCTACGTAACTATAAATTGTCCATGCTTGGGAGAGCTTTAGTCTTATCAGCAGCTGCCTTTTCGATACTATGGTTTCCGTTGTCAGTCTGTCTGTTAGGGGATGAAGCCTACATTAAA